TTAGCTGAAAGTTTTGGGTTAGAAAGGGTTGAGATGAACACTTGAGTGAGTGAGACAATAAAAGTGAGTCACTTTGTGCTTTAGATCAAGCAGTTTAGTAATAAGACCTTCTAATTTGTTAAATAAACTCATAAATGGACTGAAGTGACCGCAAGAATTCAAACTGAACATCCACATGATCTGCAGACAGATCTGAAGCAGATGTTACGTTCCTCCTACAGATAAATTATACATGTTTTGCATTTATTCAAAAGCATTTCAGAAATCCATATCAATATATCTGGACAATCACTGGAGGGAACCATCGCAAGCTCGATATGATATTTTCAATGAGTGTCTTTAAAACGCTGAGGTGGGTGATATGCATTCCTTCAAGAAATGCTGACTTTTTGTCATTATAAAAAGTAAAAACATGTTACGATGGAAATACAACACCGGGCGCTGCCTTTCATGTGACGATCTGAACAATAAAGTCCTAATGAGTAAAAACAACAAGCCATGTTTCACTGAATGCTGATTAATTGTGCAGCCATCCCACAGGGGGGACGGTTTGAAGTTGTATAACTAAATGCACTAAACATTAAGTTTAGCGGCACTTATAAAATTAAAATCAAGACTTCATGTTCTCAGCAGTAAACTCTATTAAAGTTAAACAACTGAGCCAGAAGAGACCAGATATGTATCACTCCTTTTAGGGTTTTGGGTTTACTGGAATTTTGTTTAGGATCTTTAAACCAACGTGAGACACTGGGTTTAATCATTTAAATCAAACACAAATAAATATGTTCATTCACAATGTTAATGATGACCGCTACTAAAATGAGACGAGTTCATTCAGTAATAATAACATGAAAGTAAAAAGTACTAAATGCAACATGAAAAAAAAAGATTATTTGGGGCTTTATGAAGTGGTAGAGTTCGAAAGAGTTTACTCCGGTCGTTTTTCATGTGCAGTTCTGAAATGCAGGTATGCACTCAGTGTAAACAACTTCGTCAGTCACTCAAATGAAGTTCAAGTTCAACTTCAAGTATCTTTATTATCCCCGAGGGGCAATTAGTTTCACAGTCAGTGGATGTGTACATATACACACACATGCACATACACACACATACACATATACACATATATGCATACGCATACATATATACACAAGACATTAAGACATTAAAGTAACATTACTGAAATTAGTGTTCATTGAGAAACCTGATTGCTACAGGGATGAATGAGTTTTTCAATCTGTTCTACATGGGCTGCAGAAACCTGCGTCCAGATGGAAGCAACCTGAACTCACCATGGAGTGGATGATCAGGATCTGCCAGAATCTGCCTGGCCTTATTCACTGACCTCACCTTGTGTAGGTCAGCGAGGTTCCGTAGGTCTACACCAGCAGTTTTGCTGCACATCCTGACAATCTCCGAGAGTTTGCTCCTGTTCTTACATGTCAAAAATCCAAACCAACAGATGAAGGTAAAGGTTAAAATAGACTCAATAAAACATGAATAAAACATTCTCATAAAAGTTGAATCAACATTAAAACCACAAAGCCTCCGATAAAAATACATCCTTTGGTGGGCCTTCTTACAAAGTGAGTTCACATGGAGGTCAAAGGTCAGTTTATCATTAAGAACAGTTCCTAGGTATTTATATTGTTGCATCATCTCCACAGCTTCACTGTTAATGACCACGGGAGCTGCAACTGATTTTTATTTATTTTTTTGAATGAATGAATGTGCATCAGTAGTTATATTCTACAGAATAATGGATAAAATATGCTCTTTACATGACTATTTACTTTTCAATTTAAACCTGACTGAATGCTTTACTTAACAAATCCATCCATCCATCCATCCATTAATCCATCCATCCTTTATCTTCTGCTTCTTTCAAAGTTGGGCCGTGGGGGCAGCAGCTTGAGCAGGGAGGTCCAGACATCTCTTTCCACAGCCACCTCTTCCAGCTCTTCTGGGGAGACCCCAAGGCATTCCCAGACCATCCGAGAAACATAGTTTATCCAGCGTGTCCTGGGTCTTCTCCAGGGTCTCCTCAGTCAGACATGCCCGAAGCACCGAGGTGTCCAGGGAGCATTCTTACCAGATGCCGAACCACCTCAACTGGCTCCTCTCGATGTGGAGGAGCAGTGGTTCTAATTGGAGTCTCTCCTGGATAATTGAACTTCTTACCCTATCTCTAAGGGAGAGTCCAGCTACCCTGTGGAGGAAACTCATTTCAACAGTCTTACCTAATCTAAAAAATAAATATGTTCCAATACATCGGCTGTCAGATATTAAACTGAAACATCCCTTCCTTCGACCGCACAACTGCAAACACATTATCATATGCCTGTCATACATATATATATATATATATATATATATCAACATAAAGGGTACTAAGGTGGACACTGTGGACTGCTAAGTACCTGGGGGTCCACCTGGACTGGGCAGCTAATACCAATGCCCTCTACAAGAAAGGGCAGAGTTGCCTTTATCTTCTGAGGAGACTCAGGTCCTTTAACATCTGCAGGGCCATGCTGCAGATGTTTTACCACTCGGTGGTCTCCAGCATCTTCTACTCTGTGGTGTGCTGGGGCAGCAGGGTGAAGAAAAATGATGCCAGCAGACTCGATGAACTCATCCAGAGAGCTGGTTCAGTTCTGGGAGTGGACCTGCAGTCTCTGACAGAGGTGTCTGAGTAGAGGATGCTGAGGAAACTGCTCCAGATCCTGAACAACACATCACACCCCCTGCATGAGACACTGCACTCTTACTGCAGCACCTTCAGTCGTAGACTGAGACCACCGAGGTGCTCCACAGAACAACACATCCTTCAAACTTTTCAACTCCTCCCCGTTTCTATACATATGATAAAATGAATCCTGCACCACAATAAACACTTTAATGTTTTCATATTAAAACATTTCACACATGTCTGCACCTGACCTGTTTAGAACTTAATTGCTGTTATTTTTATATTCTTTGTTATTTTTTATATCTTGTGTTATTCCTTGTGTTTGAAACTCAGCACAACAATTTCCTGTGGGATCAATAAAGTTCTATCTTATCTAATCTAATCTTATATATATATATATATATATATATATATATATCCCAGGACATCTGTTAAAGTGATTAATAATCTCAATAGATTTATTTTGAGGTAAAATAAAGGTTTAAATAAAATAAAGAAATTATTTTTTTCTGTAAGTCATTTTTTTTAACTGAAGGACACATACCTAATAATTAGAAGAAAAAAGTGCTGATTTTGTTTCTTTACGAGAAGAAGGTAAAATAATTTAATCTGGACCAGTTTCTTTGATTGAGCCTACAAACCTGTTTCTTTAAGAATTCACAATTTGAACAATCACTTAAAATCAATACATGTTAAATGTGGCGTCTTATAATATAATAATGAATAATATCAGAATGATGTGAAATCAAAGAAGGTATGAATTATCGTTTGTTTTCCTCTAATAAAATCCTATAAACATAAAGAGGAAATGTATCACTTGAGTTAAGGCAAGAAAGCTTTTTTTTAGAAACGTAAATAAAATTAAATATGGTACTTTTTATGATTTAATTAGAAGTTACTTGATAAGCTCATCGAACTTGTGATATTAATACATTTAATAGGAAGCAGTACAATTAGAGCAGATTATGACCCAATGAAGATTAAATATATTCTGTAACCATAATGTAAAAATACAAGAAAGTTGAACGCAAACACCCCCCCCCCCCCCCACACACACACACACACACACACACATGGATATGAGTCTATTTCCACACGGAGGCGCGGCCAGGAGTAAAAGTGAATTATGATCCGCCCTCTGGAGCCGCGCGGAGCAGATTTACTCCAACACGAGGGAGTCCAGCACGAGACGAGGAGCAAGAAAATAGCATTTTTAATGAAATAAATAATAATAACACATTTATAATTTAGTTTTTTTTTTTCTTCTTCTTTTGTTGTCATGCGCTGGAAAAGTGAAGGGCAAGTGGAGAACTGCGTGGACAGGGAGGACCTCAACGGTGAGGTGAGGCTGTCCAGGTGTGTGTGTGTGTGT